ATCTGTTACTCTCTCTACAGATTATCTCTCAGGCCGGGCAACTGGGCAACAAATCCAAAATGTTGCTATTACTTCCAGTCAGAGGAACCAGAATAATTTAAACCTTTTGGGGGTTTGGGGTTAACTCTAGATGGAGTGAGGTGTTTAGTGATGTGTCTGTTTAGTGACTTTAATCTGAACAACAATGCTTGGTGTTAACAATCCCTGGCCTGTAACACAGACACTGACTCACATCTGTGTTCATCCTCCTCCTCCTTCCCAGTCAAGCCTTTGCCTCTTCAGACCCGCCAACCCTTCGTCACTCTGCCCCCACTGGCTCATGGCGTCTACTCTCCTACAGAGAACCGGCTTATGGTTCTCATTGTTGTGGTTACAACACTGAGTCTGGCAGCGAGCGTAGGCCTCATAGTTCTCCTGAGGTGAGAGACTTGGGTGGATGAGTGGGCGGGGATTCCCAGGAAGGGTGGAGGTGAAAAGAAACGATACCAAGCAACATGTATGACAGACTAAATCATGTAAGGTGAAGTAGAGCCAGCTATGATCTTAGATTTTATTACTAAATCCCAATTTATTAGGCTGAGTGAATACAGCTGAACTGAGTCAGTCGACTTTTGTTGTTTGGGGAAAAAAAATCTTTACTTCTTCCTGTAAGTTATATTGCTATTTAAAACCACAAGCATGTTTTTTGAAAAACACTTTTTCCTTTAAAAGGGACTTTCTCTGTTATCCTTTCTGTAGGATGATGATGAATCGGCAGAAAGAAGTCAAAGACTTGAGGATCAAGAAGAAGGACAAACACACAAAGGCCACAGTATGATGTATACAGTAATTACACTTTCACAGGAAAGACTTCCTCACTTCCGTTTATAGATTTTACGCCATGATCAAATAAATTTTCCAGCATGAACTGTCAAGTCATGTCTAGAAATGATGTGAAAGTTCATATGGGTTTTGGTGCCATGGAAAAATGATAAGTCACTCGAGAGTTGTAGATCTTGTTTTTATTTGGATCAGGTGTGAGCTCATATGACAGAAAGTTGGCAGAGGAACAAAAGCAGAAATTGGTCAACACTGAGTTATTTCAGCTGCACTCAGACATTTATCTTCACATACGATCAGCGTAAATTACATACTAATTTGGGCCTTTGGTGATTTATTTTAAACTCTATTTTTGAAGGTGGTATGAGTCAACAACAAATAACTTAAGTTATTTTTAAAAACAAGAATTGGGTGAGTCAATCTGATTTTGTAGAGGAACTTTCTTTAATCCACAGAGGGTCTAAATTTTAAATACAGCGACCATCAACAAACTCCTGGCATATTTCAGGGGATTTTTTTTTTTATTGTTTTTGGTTTTTTTCCTGGCCCCCTGGATCACATGCATATAAAACACATTTTCAAATAATCTAAGGTCAGTGATTTGAGGGACTATACCAGAGAAATAATGTCAGTCTCTGTTATTGACTCCAAAACCACTTTTGATGTGCACCTTTGGGTTATTGTGCAATTAAAAAACCTTCTATGCTCTATGGTCAAGTTTCAACATGACCCGAACAGTGATCCATATGACTTTGGTCAGAAACATCTCAGAAACCAACAAAGCTGAAGTTTGTCATAAACTAAAAGATCTAAAGACACCAGTGTTAATGTCCAGAGCTACGCAAGTTTGACATTACGATGCACTAAGAGTGACCAAAGCACAGTAGTGGCAGCATAGGACTATGGGACTGTTTTGCATTAAATCACACTAATAGGATCTACGAGTTGTAATTCTGTGATGATCAAAGTATATGGAATAATAAAGATAACCTACAAATCTTACAATTTTACATTGAAGCTTACAAACGGAAGAACAAAATGCCATCTGTCAAGGCAGGTGGTGGAAGCGTCATGCTGTGGGTTTGGTAATAAAGACAGGATAACTTCTAAAATTCATGAACTTTAGTTTAAATCAATAATAGGGTGACGCTTTGACCCAGCTGGATGTTTCAGAAGTACAAAAGCATTCAAACACATCAAAACTGCCTTAAGAATTGATAAAGCAGCCCAACATTAAGCTCCTGCAGTAACTTTCAGTTCTACAGAAAGCGTATGGACTATGTATAAAAGCCAAATCCGTCCAAGCAAATCATTCAAATTATATGAGTCCTTCTGTTTCCCCAAAAGAAGGAAATTCAGACAGATTTTTACCAGGAAATTGATGATGACTACACTGAAACCAGGAAACAGGTGATCCCATAACGCAGTTAACTGGTCACAAGTAATCAAATTAAGTTTATGCTGTGGTGGCACAGGGGTAAAACTCAACTCACGGTAGTTCTCAATGAGGATTGGTTTGAGTAGCAGCCTGATGACCTTTGGGAATTCCCACTCTCAAATAAAGGTCAATAGAGCAAATAAAACCTTAAATAAATAAGTTTATCTAAGTACATTTATCAGATGGATTACACTGCAAACTTGTAGTCCTAAAAAGAGAAAAAGACCCCTATCTTTTTAGGAGGTAATCGTACCAATGTCTCCAAAATACTGATCTCTATCTTACTGCACTGTGTTTATTAAGTTAAATAAATTTGACAAACCTAATCTGGTTACATGTGACAAATTAACACATATTTTATAAATTGGAGTTCGATTCTCTTATTTCAGTGTACAAATTTGGTGTTGAGCTGCAACTTGAAAATGGTCATTTCAACTAATATTACTAGGGGTTAATGTATTTATTTTGATATGTAAATATAACTTTGACCCCGTGTAGAAGACAAACAACCCCATAAATTTTAAAATTGTTCACCCAATTGTTGTTTTTAAAATTCACTGAAGTCACTATTTGTGCCCAGAGTAGGTAGAAGTTCACTTTTTGGCCGTAATTGCACCAGAGCGTATTACAGTTCAGACCCCAGCATGGACACCTCCTCTTCCTGCCCCAGCCAGATGAAGTGGAGCTGTGTGGCCATGTGGACATCTAAGAAGAGAATCAGGATGAGGAAAATCTCCTGGATTAGTGTTTTTCAGATTAATAGCCCCAGCCACCCAATAATCCTAGATAATCCCTCTAGTGGGAGAAAGGAGATAAAACCAAGCAGCAGATGTTGTCGTCAGAAGTTCTGTTGATGTTTGTTTACTCGTGTTCATTCAGAGAAAAAAAATCAACAAATGTGACTGTGAATATTAAGTGTGTCATGATTTCCAGTCACGACTGGTAACTGATTCAGAAGAAGTGTCTCTGCTGATCTTGACTGTGTTTACCAGGCAACAGTGCTTCATATCTTGTATGCTACTGAGTTAATTTGCTTCCTGATGTCAGCGTCAAGTCACGTTTCCTGTAAAAACAGTCATTACCAACGACAAATTTAACCCAATCTTTCAGCATTATGTAACGGGGAAGATAATGAATATCAAAAACCGAAAATGAAATTAACCGATATTATTACTCATCCATATTAGATGAGTAACCAGCACCAGGAAATCACCTACGAAATCACAAACGGTGCTGAGAATTATTCGGAAAATTTCTGACAAAGGCTTGAATATGTGTAGGTAGTTTGGGTTATGAGCTATGACAACAGACGTTGTGTGGAGGTTGAGGTTTGCATTGATGGTGACAGGATGTGTGTCTGCTGCTGCTGCTGCTGCTGCTTCCTTTGGGGCTTTGCTGACATGGGGGAGAGGAGTGATAAAAAAAAGAAAACACTCTTAAAGACACCCACACACAAAGGCTCTCACGTCACAACCTTCCAGCCAAGCAGTCTTCAACGTCTCACCAGTCTTACCCCATTGTGTTTAAACCCACTGTGCAGGCTGAGGCTACCGTAAGTGCACTCTCAGCTGCTCTCCTGACAGCCATGATGAAGTGTGTAGTAAAGTGTGCTTGAGTGTGTACATTTGCAGTGGATTGAAAGTGCTGCCTCAGCAGGGAGACGGGATGACAAAGTGGTCGCGCTACCGGAGGAGGAACAGGCAGCGGCGAGGGAAAGGGAAGTGGGAGCATGAAGAAAGTTGGAGTCAGAGGTTTGAGTGGGAGAGAATCATGTGGGAAGGCAGAGTAATTTCAGTGTGGGCTATGAGGAAACGAGGACAAAGATGTGAGATTACACCCTATCATATGAGCAATACGACAGTAGACATACAGACACCGTACCGATAGTTATGGAAAGACATCTGCATGACTAGTTCACCAAAATAGAAACTTCTGCCATTTAGCTTCCTTGTTATTCAGTGTTTTGCTGAAACAGTTTGCATTGAAAATTATTTTTACAGCACCATCAGCCTGATTCAAAACAACTCACTCCATTGCAGTCCCGTAAAGTCACGTTGAAATACACCTAAAAGTGATAATCAAATGACTATACAATCATTCTACACAAATTTGAAAAATACTTGATTATAAGTTTACAATTCAAATCATATTTTACTGCTTTTACTACCACTTTTTTCTTTAAATACTCGCCTGCTCGTATTGTTGTATCTGTTTTTCAGTTTTTACCTGTTTTAGCCCAAAATATTTATAAATCTGAAGTTTGTCAGTGTTCATAATCATGGTGTAAAACTACAAAAATACTAATGTTTTTTTATGCCCACTTCTAGCTTTGTCTACTCAAATCACACTGAAAAAAACACCTTTTCAACAAATGAACTAAAAGATCAAACACAACATGGCATTTACCAATTATGAGTGTGAACTACACCACCCTCTTTAATGATAGAAAAAAGCAGGCTTGAGTTTATTTGATATTGATATTTTATTTATTAACTTGTTCCTGTTTGTTTTTTTGTTTTGTTAATTTATTTTGGGTCATAAATATCCATTACTTCACATTTGTTGCCATTATAAGGATAAGGCTTCTCATTTCTTTACTAAACATTCCAAATCTCTTAACATCCATACTTATACATTTAAAATTTCACCCTCAGAGCACCTGCAAAACATAATACATGACAGTTTTACTCAGTCTGATTAAAATATTTTCTATTTATTTCATTGTGAATTGGCAAAAATGAACATATTTAGATCATGAAAGCAGCATTGTGATCCCACTGAGAAATGTCATTGTGACATATCTTCCTCTTTCCCATGACGTCCATCATTGAATAAAAATAAATTAGCTATATTCATTGCTGAATAAGGCACTGTTTTATTTAGACTTCCCTACGCAATAGGCTTCAATGAAGGTCCTGTTTTAGTACACTTCAGTGAAACCATTTTATGACCTTTGTGACAACAAATGTTTTTACAGATTTCTTTTACTTTAATACTAAAAACACTCACGATAAAATTGTTAACTAACATGTTTAGTAGCTTGCATTTCTTAGTAATTAATTTTTTTTTTTATAATAAATGTTGCATTATGCTGTAAAATGCCCCAGTAATCTTGGTAAACCTTTTTAACACAAAGTCTATAATGTCATACTTTGAATGTTACATTTCCCCTTTCCCAAAAGTGAATTCATAATAAAAAACAAACAGGGATGAGCAGGAAAAGTGTAACATCTGTTTGTGACAGACATGGAGAGAGAAACAGGACAGATTTGCTGTGGCTTAGAGCTCCAGGGGATTAATTTGACCCAAATGATAACACACAGCCTTCAGCATTTCCTCTGAAGGCTGCAGTTCCTAGCTTTCAACTCGCAGCATCACGTCACTCAACACAAAAACACCGTATAACCCCAAACACCACGTGCGCAGTAGGAAAGTTGAGCTTTACGTCAGTGTCCATATGAGGACTGTCGGACAAGCCATATTTGGCTTTTCCGCCTGTGACGTTGCTGCCTCTGCGGAAAACGGGGCGGAGCCCACGCGACCCCGCCCCTCTCGCGGCTGTTATCAATGAACAACTGAAACTATGAAACTGAAGACGGTTTTATCCGCCTCAGGGAGTTCAAGTTCAAGTTCTCTCTACACTTACTCAAATTCATTTTAAGTTTTCATACAGGCGCATTATTTTGCATTTACAACTATAATAGTTTACTTTTTTCCTTAAGTAAACACCTCGTTTTTGTGTACTTTTTAAAGTTTTTTTAGGTTGACTTTTCACCTATTTCAAACTTTTGCGCCATGGCTTCAAGCAGTGTAACACTAGAAATAACAAACAACGAGCTGGTCCACATCCTAAGGACCCCACGGGATCAGTACACCTCCAGCGGGTGCGTGGTGCTGGACTGCAGACCTTTCCTCGACTTCTCCACGACGCACATTTGCGAGTCCCGCAACGTCAACTGGAACTCGATGCTGCGCCGCAGGTCCAAGAGCTCGGTGGTGGCCCTGGAGTGGCTCATCCCGGACAAGGCGCTCCTGGGCCGGCTGCGGCGCGGAGAGTTCTCCCCGCTGGTGGTGGTGGATGAGAGGAGCGGCTCGTTGGCCGAGCTCAAGTCGGAGAGTGTGGCCCAGATGTTGCTCACCGCCCTGCAGAACGAAGTCCAGACGCAAATCTGCTTTCTGCAAGGTGAAAACACTTTTCATTTCTGAACATTAATTCATGAAAAACAATCATTTGCTAAGGCTTTTATTTCTTTTACAGTTAGAAAACAGAACAAAATTATCAAATGTTCTTATTTCTTCCTACATTATATAAGAGGAGCATTCTTGTAAAATGTTTCATTAAGCTAAAACGCTGTTTGACCTCCATTTTAGGTGGATTTGAGGGATTTTCAGAGGCCTTTCCAGATCTTTGTTACCACGCTGCTGTAAACCCCCTCCATTCAGTGGAACCAGAGCCAATAGTGACAGGCCGGAGGACTCCAGCATATGATCAGGTACGTCAAAAAATCCTAATCGGTGCATCTAAATGTTATCTTCCTAAATAAAAAATAAAAAAATCAAACGTATTGATTAATTGTTGTTTTAATAATTTCTAGAATGGTCCGGTGGAGCTGCTGCCCTTCCTGTTCCTGGGCAGTGCCATCCACTCGTCCCGCAGAGAGACGCTGGCAGCAGCAGGCATCACAGCTGTCCTCAACGTGTCCTCCACCTGCCCCAACTTCTACGAAGGAGAGCTCCAGTACCTTCGACTCACTGTGGAGGATACGCTGGTAGCCGACATTAGAGCCTGCTTTCACACAGCCATCTCGTTCATCGGTGAGCCCCTTCACCTTCTGCTCAGTGACCTCAAGTTATTTATTTGTTCAAATCCCAGTATGAACTTTAACCAACCACATTTTAGAGGGCAGAGAAACTCAAGTGACCTAATTTGATATGAAATGCAACATAACACTTTTAAGCAGCTTATGTACAAGAGATCATTTTGTAGCTTATTGGCAAAATATAATAATCTAGTTGCAAAACAACTGGATTGTTTTCCACAACTTACAGATGAGATTCATTCACTCCTAAACTTCGACCTTGTAGCCAATTGTAAACATTTAGTGTGAACAGTACCGATTGTTCTAAACTTTGTTGTTTTTTTCCGGTGTTACCCACAGACTCCGTGAAAAAGAGCGGTGGTCGGGTGCTGGTGCACTGTCAGGCAGGCATCTCCCGCTCAGCCACCATCTGTCTGGCCTACCTCATGCACACGCAGCGCGTCCGCCTCGACGAGGCCTTCGACTTCGTCAAGCAGCGGCGCCAAGTCATCTCCCCCAATCTGGCTTTCATGGGACAGTTGCTGCAGTTTGAGACCGACATCCTCTGTCAGGGCTGAGACGAGTGATGTCTTCAGCTCATATTCTTATCGGGACTCGACAAATGATCCATTTGTGCAGAAAATGGTACATCTAACAAGGACTCGGAGAAAAGCTACTTGTGTTGCTGGCATCACATGATTGGATTTCTGTTTAAAGCAGAAACTGACAAATGCATTACTGGTTAAAACAAACTGTTGCAGTGTAGAAACCTGCTGAAGTATTGAACTTGAAAATGACTACAGTCCAGAAGTAGCAGGTTGGAGCAGCTACTTGTACTTTCCCCTTTTACCGGTGAGGGAAGTTGTTCCTGCTTTTCTGGTAGTGTGTTTTTGTTGTGTGTGTGTGTGTGCTAATTTAAGACTAAGGTGCCTGTTTATTTGAAAGGTCTGTTTTTGCTTTCATACTGAAGCCACTGTGACATCTTTCAGGCAGCACTGTGTTAGCTACTTAAAGCAATTCTGAACAATTCTCAGATTTCTTCCACTGAAATTATGAAAATGCACTAACTACAGCCTGTTTTATGAGACACATATATTGGCTGGCAGCTGTTTTTTTTTTTTTTCCATTATGTAAATAGTTTTTAATTATTTAAGGTTTGCAATGACTGTGTTACAGTTTTTGATATGTTACTGCACTTTAATCCTGCAAATTTCAATCTATTCTGGGGTTTTTTTTCCACTCGAATAAAAACTTGCAGGAAAACACGTTTAATTCTTGTACTCCTCTTCCTTTTCCATAAACACACCTTAGCCTGTCTGCTCTGGTACATCAGATCATTTTTCTTCAAAACTACCTCTCTGCAGAGACAAAATAGTCCCGAGAGTATTGCAGTGGTTTCCCAGAACACGTTGCAAATGCATAACTTCACACACTGACCCTGCAGCGCTCCTGCTGAATCAGGGGATATTGAAGCTGTTCGTTGCTGCGTGTTTTGGAGGATTATCCTGCAGAGAGTGGATTTTACAGTCTAAAGTCCTCTTCCACCCCCAACACAGACATAAAAAAGTTCTATCTGCACACTGCAGTTGTGCGGACAGCTTTAGAGATTTGAGTTTTGCAGAATGTTCTCGCCTAGTTTGGAAAGTCTTTCTCAAATTTCAACAGGATATTTAAAGTGCATATCCTGTTAAAGTTTACTTCCAAACTGACTTTTTATATGCATTATTTCAAACATTCAGCTTTAGCTCTGTAAGATATTTTTCCACTTTGCAAATGTCTGCCATTTCTCCTTTCGTTTACATCCCATTTTAATGGTTCTTTATGGGGAACTTTTTGAAAAGCGTGGGTCACATTACATCAGGTGGGAAATTAACAGAGCATTTCTGGAAAAGCAGATGAGACCTTTAGTCAAAAAAGGTGGAGGTCACGTAATTTTTCACAGCTGCTTTGCAACTAGTGGATCTATGATTCCTGGTCTTTATCATCATATCCTGAAGAATGAAAAAGGGAAATATTCGAAATGTGAAAAATTTCTAATAAGAATTTTGATTTTTCATTATCATACATTCCATTTCAAATAAAAAAAACTGACAGTATGATTGAAATTAATTTAACTTCCCTCTGGGATCAACAAGGTAGTTTTGAATTGGATTTTGAATTTAATTTGAAGATGTTATTTTGCTTTATTTCCACTGTTTGTTCCATAAATATCAGTAAATTTGACAAAAAAATAAGATTAAATGCAATGACATAAATTTGACTGTTTTAAGTAATGGGAATGTTATTCAAGAACAATATTTTGCATTTGTGGCGCTACTGATGTCACAGCCATGTAGTTGCCCAAAGAAGTTTTGTTGAGTTTTTTTATCACGATCTTTGCTGCTATCACAATAGTACAATAATAGTACAATAAAATTCCAAGTCTACTTGACTTTAATCTCAAGTAGCACTTGGAATATACAACAATTAAGCACATCCATCTCTTAATAGCTGAAATGACAGAATAAAGGTTTCTGAAGTGGCCTAGTCAAAGTTTGAATAACGTCCAATGTGACTGAAATGTTCTGCAAACGTAGTGGGCCAAAGTTCCTCTACAGTGATGAAAAAGATTCATGACCAGCTGCCACAAACGCCAGATTTTGCTGCCAGTTGTTAAAGGTTAGGAATAATTAGTTTATAATAAAATCATTATTTGAAAACTCAGATGATCGTTGGGTGATTTTAAAATTTGTTTGAGGATTTGAAACATGTAACATGTAACCAATGCTTTTTATAGCACTGTATACATTAATGCCTCACCTCTGTTAAAAGATCAGCTGCATCCACTACCTCATTTTTTATTATCGGGCTGCCCACACTTATTTTTACCCATGGCCAAAACAAAACCTCCAACTTCCTCTCATTTACAAGTATCCGTTCCCTAACGCGTGCTTTAGTGGAACTATATTTGACTTCTTTCTTCCACTTGACACATTTTTCCACATCAGAAAAATGCCCATTGGCTTTAGTCAAGACTAGAAAAAAAATACATGAAAAGGTTTGAATTATGAATATTTAAAGATATTTCTATAAAACTTAAACTTTCACTTCTCCGCCTTGATTTTAATTTAATCATAATGTTCTCTGCAAGCCATTTTATGAATCTAAACAAGATTTCAGAGGATGACAGGATTCCATATCTCGTTCTTTTTCCTTAAACAACCTTTGTAGAAATAAGTAATAAAATCTTTCTGCAGATCAGGTTGGCTTCAGTGCTGATGTGAAATAGAAAACATTATATATTTTCTTTTCTGATTTATAATGTAAAATAACCTGATTTTAACATACAAAATAAATCTGACCTTAGAGGAAAATTACTAGTTTGACTTGACTTTGGCACAAATATGTAAAAACCACGACGAGCAGAGCTCACCACAGGTTTTAAAGTAAATGTTTGAGTCTTCAACTGAAAAATGTGAAGAAATATGACTTCTAATTTGATTACATGTAAGCATGTAACAATTTCTGTGTTGTACAGACATCATCATAAGATTTAATGGCAGCTTATTTTAAAAAACTTCTACCATAACCAAAGCACATGTTTTCATGTTCCAGTAGAGTTTAGCAAACTAAATGTTTATGTTTGGATTAGTAGAACAGAAAATAAACTTTTTACTTCGGTATCTATTAAGCCATCAAAATAGTTGTGACTTATTGATCTTATCATGCCTGACTCTCTTCTCTGCACTTCTAAAACTGTGAGCCTTTGAGATTATTTTTACGTTCTTTGCCTTTCTGCTCTCAGTTTGTGATGACAAGTTAAATTTTAATCTATTTTTAACCAAGTGTCCAGACAGTGGGTCTCTGTGTCATGTCATATTTATACACCAGTCATGGATTACTAATTAAAAGGATCAACTCAAAAAGTAGAAGTTTAAAAAAAAAGGCTGTGCAAAGATCAGATTTTTTCTCATCATCATTCACAATGAGAAATTACATTTATTTTAAAGGCCATGTTATGATGAATGCGGCCGTAGCTTGTCTATATTATAGCATTTTGTTGTCAAAGTAAAGCTCGGATTTGTCAAAATGTTTCAATTTATGTTTGTGTCACAATAAAAGCTGTATTAACATGTTTTGTAACTACATCATGTTACTTTTTTAGTCGCACATTTTATGGTATGTTGATTACTGGAGCTCTGTCTAGCAGAGATTATCTAAATAAAAAAAACGTGTAAAAATAAATCTGCTGTGCCTCGCTTGTGGAATATCCTCCCTGACCTTTTCAAAAAAAATAACAAATTCATCCATGTTTATAACATTTAATGAGTAAAATGTTCAGTCAAGCAAAGCGACACTGTTTCAAATTGTTTGTGTTTCTGTCTGAATGTTGCAACATTATAAAATAGATTATTTGATTTTAAAATTGTGTCCTACGTGGCGATGAGGCAGAGATAATGTGCAACGTTATTTATTTACAGGGTGTTAAAAGTTCACTATTAAATATAGGTCAGCAGAAACCAGATGAAAGAATCCGTTTCAGGTCATTCATTACTGTAGCTACAGGAAATAGTAGTTGTGTACACAGGAAGTTAGCTGGGTAAATAAACAATCTTAAACAATCGTGTGATGCAGTTTGCTGTCATGTATTCTGGGTCAAACTTTAGAAAGAGGTCATCAACTTTACTTTTTTTTTTTTTTTTTAATGAATGTGTATAAAACTCGTAGGCCGATATCAGTTTTATAAACACTTTGGGATTTCTATGAAAACAAACAATACTGAAGTATTTGAAAATCATGAAATTATAGTAAAATATTTTGGAGCCACTGACCAGGGCACAACTTAAACCTGCCATCCAGCAACTCAAACCTTCTGATGCATAGAATCGCTCATTAATCAACTGTAGTTTGCACCAGTAAAATATTTTTTTGTAAGTGGATCGGGCACCATAACTGGGTCTGGCCCAGGGGCCCACATCCTTGTTATTCCGGCCCTGCATTAATCTATCTCCCCTCGCTGAGAGGGCTTTTATCGCTGTCATTGTTCACGCTTTATACATGTACCAGTGTTTGAAGACAGATTTTTGACTTATAGCTATGGATCAGAATCATTCAATTCTACTGGGCAAGATTCGGTGCAGAAACAGGAAATTTGACTTCAGTCCACACGATATGTTGCTATTTTTACTCTACTGTGATCCTCCAGAGGGAAATGCAGACTACCTGAGAAAAGATTAAGTCAAAAAATGTTTAGTTTGCAGCAGGACAGTGCTCTCTAGTGACAGCTTTTAAAACAACCAGGAAATGAGGAGATTTCTGAGCATCCAGCAGATGACGCCAGCATGCTGTTTATTCTGCCTTTTCCTGATTGATTCAACCCAGAATCATCTCAATCACACACAATCTTTATCTGCGGTGCTTCCCGGTGCATTTTTTTTAATTCACAAAAGAGTTGGTGCTGTTGTCCTTCTGTGCTTTTAAATAATCATGCTTGGAAGTAAAACTATTCCACCATCTCTCTGTTCAAATGCCTCTCATTAAATTTGTCATATTCAGTTCATCCTTTATCAATCAGCCTCCCTAATGAAAACAGACTCAAACTATTAGTCACACTCTGAGCCTGGATTAAACTACTGTCAGCTCTAATCATATTATATTAAGCTGCGGCAATACCTACTGATGGCTTATACGTGTGTGTTTGCGTCTGTATGTCTCTGTAACGTATTTACAAATGGGTGAGTGTGTCAGATTAGGGATTAGCACAGAGATCCCGCTTCCTTTTGGACGTGGAGTTTTGCTGGGTTTGCTGTTCACAGATGAGGACGGTGCATGTCACTTGTATGAGGAATCCCAGGTGATGAAAATGCAACTGTGATATAAGAGGCTGCAGAATAACAATGTGCATTTATTTGCATAGGCCTGCTGGTACATACAGAAGCAGAAGGGTCCCTCATTACAAATGCAGTTTGGAAAATTACTCTTTGACCATTTGACAGCAGTAAAATTAATTCTTTGCATGCTTTCAGAACTCACATTAAGAATAAGTCCAGTAGAAGCTTGAAATACTAAACCATGATCTCTTATTTTCTTCCAAGCACTGAGCTTTCCCCTGAAATTGCTGGAAAATGACCAGAAAAAGTAGCTGAATAAAGATTCTTTGCGCTCAATGTTTGCAGTCCTTGGTATTGTGGAAAGTATTTGCCCTCTCACACATTTATTATGTTTTTGGCTTTATTATCCCACTTAAATGTTTTACATCATCCAACAAATGTTGATATCAGTCAAAAAT